TCCATTACCACAAATTGCATTTGTACCCCATGTCCCCCAATTATCCCTCCACCTCCCTCTTTTCCCCACTGCTCCACTTTGTATCCCAAGGTATGTTCTCTCCCTCTGCAAGTCCAATGCACCACTGTGGTCTTTCTTTCCCTCCTTCCTTTCTCTCTCAGTTCCCACATATGAGTGAATACATGCAGTATTCGTCTCTCTGAGCTTTCCTTATTTCACTCAACATAAATTTCTCCAGGCTCATCTATGCTGTTGCAAATGGGAGAATTTCATTCTTTTTTATGGCAGAGTAGTAATCCATGGTGAATATATATCACAGTTTCTTATCCAATCATCCATCAATAGGCATTTATATTGGTTCCATATCTTGGCTATTGTAAACAGAGCTGTGATGAACATGGGAGTGCAGGTATCCCTTTGACAAGATGATTTTCATTCCTCTGGGTATGTACCCAGATGTACATTGCATTTCCCTGATGACTAGTGATGTTGAGCATTTTTTCATGTACCTGTTGGCCATTTGTATGTCTTCCTTTGAAAATTGTCTATTCAGCTCCTTTGCCAATTTTTTAATTGGGTTATTTGTTTTTTTACTGTGTAATTGCTTGAGTTCCTTGTATATTATGGATATATTAATCCCTCGTCAGATGAACAGTTAGCAAAAATTTTCTCCCACTCTGTAGGCTGTCATTTCACTCTGTTGATGGTTTCCTTTGCTGTGCAGAAGCTTTTTAGTTTGATATAGTCCCATTTGTTTAGTTTTTCTTTTGCTGCCTGTGCTTTCAGGCTCATGTTTATAAAGTCTGTGCCCAGAACTAGTTCCTGAAGTTTTTCACCTACATTTGCCCTTAGTAATTTTACAGCTTCAGGTCTTATACTTAAGTCTTTAATACATTTTGAGTTGATTTTAGTATATGGTGAGAAGTGCATATCCAGTTTCATTCTGCATATGGATATCCAATTTTCCTAGCACCACTTGTTAAAGAGGCAGTCTTTTCCCTAGTGTAGGTTTTTGTTGCCTTTGTCCAATATCAGGTGGCTGTAAGCCTGAGGAGTGATTTCTAGGTTCTCAATTCTGTTCCCCTGGTCTGAGTGTCTATTTTTATGCCAGTACCATGCTGTTTTGGTTACAACTGCTTTGTAGTACAATTTGAAGTCATGTAGTGTTATGCCTCTGGCTTTACTTTTTTTGCTCAGGATTGCTTTGGCTGTTCAGGGTCTTTTGTTGCTTCATATTAAAGTTAAGATTGTTTTTGCCATTTCTGTGAAGAATGACATCGGTATTTTGATGGGGATTGCTTTGAATTTGTAGATCACTTTGGGTAGTATAAACATTTTCACAATGTTAATTCTTCCGATCCAAGAGCACAGAACATCTTTCCATCATTTTGTGTCTTCCTTAATTTCTTTCAGAAGTGGTTTTTAGTTCTCATTGCAGAGATCTTTCACCTTCTTTGTTAAATTGATCCCTAGGTATTTTTTTTTTCATGACAATTGTAAATGGGCTTACTTTCTTGATTCCTCTTTCTGTTAGTTCACTATTAGAGTATATAAGTGCAACTGATTCGGGAGCATTTATTTTGTATCCTGCAATGTTACTGAAGTTATTAACGAGCTCTAGGAGTTTTTTGATAGAGTCTTTAGGTTTTTCTATATATAGTATCATGTCATCTGCAAAAGAGACAGTTTGTCTTCATCTTTTCCAATCTGGATTCCCTTTATTTCTTTCTCTTGCCTGATTGCTCTTGCTAGTACCAAGAGGAGACAGAAAACCTGAACAGACCAATAACAAGTGATGAGATTAAAGTGGAAATCAGCAATCTTCCAACAAAGAAAAGTCCGGGTCTGGATGGCTTTACAACTGAATTCTATCAAACTTTTAAAGAGGAATTAATACCAATTCTCCTCTAACCATTCCAAAAAATTGAAACAGTAGCTGCTCTCCCAAACTCATTCTATGAGGCCAACATAAATCTGATACCAAAACCAGGTAAAGACACAACAATAAAAGAAAATTACAGGCCAATATTCTTCATGAACATAGATGCAAAAATCCTCAACAAAATACTAGCAATCACAATACAGCAACACATTAAAAAAATTATACACCATGATCAAATGGGATTCATCCCAGGGATGCAAGAATGGTTCAACATACGAAAGTCAGTAAATGTGATACATCACATCAGCAAACTCAAGGACAAAGACCATATGATTATCTCAACAGATGTTTAAAAAGCATTTGACAAAATTCAACATCCCTTCATGATAAAGACTCTCGGCAAATTAGGTATAGAAGGAAAATATCTCAACACAATAAAATCCATTTATGATAAGCCCACCACAAGTATCATTCTGAATGGAGAAACCTGAGGGCCTTTCCCTTAAGAACAGGAACAAGACAAGGATGCCTACTCTCACCACTTCTATCTAACATTGTACTGGAGGCTGCAGTTTCTAAAACAACTTAGTCTTCCAACAGATGAGAGCAGTGTTTCCTCAAAGGCTGGTTAGGTGATAATGGAGCACACAAAGGTCTGAGAACCACAGATCAATAGCATAGTCATAGAGTGAGCTGTTAAAGCAATAGCAAATGCTAACAAATGCTGAGCTATGTGCCAGGCACTACTCTAATCTCTTTATGTGGGGTGTCTCATTTTATCCTCCTATAACTCTGCAAGTGAGAAACTGTTGTTACTTTTATTTTACAGGTGATAAAACAAAGGGACACATTTGGGGAATGAAAGAATTGAAATTAAAACACAGGAAGTTTGACTAGAAGCTTTATGCCTTCTGAACTTTCACTGTTGATAGTGAAGACCTAATTACTTCTGTGTTTTGCATGTTGAAAATGATATTTTGGTATGAATGTAATATGTTTCAGATTATGAGTGTTTGCCTATTGAACCAAATGTCTGTGTATGATATCCTCTGGAAATGATAAAGCACTCTAATAATGAGGACCCTGAGGATTTGATCCTTCACAAAATGTCCTCTTATCCTATCACTTTTGAAGAACTGTCTGACCTAATTCTGACCTGCCTTCAATTAATTAATATATCTATAAAATAATTACATCGTTTCTTTTCTCGCTCTGTCTCTCTCTATATACATAAATAATCATCATTGGCACACTTTTAAAAATACGGTTTGATATTTTAATGAATTTATCATAAGTGGAAACAAAACAAGAACATAATACTTGTCAGAATTTTGTGAAAATATGCTCTTGGCAATTTATTAAAAAGAAGATATAATAATACTACATTTCCATCATTATCAACTAAGAGCCACAACCCAGTATTCTTAAGAAAGTATTTTAAAATTAAGAGTATCTCATTCTATACTGCTTTACTAATTATGATGAGGAGGATCCCAATCAAAAGGGTGTTATCAGTGTCAGAGCTAATCTTTGAACTTTGTAGTTGTGTAAGACACTTTTGTTGGCTTCATATATTATATTTTGTTCTACATGCCAGTGTAATAATAAAGAGCTCTTAATTTATTAGTATTTTATTCAGATGAGTTAAGTCTACTTGTTTCTAATTCTAATGAAAAATATAATTCTCTTATTCTTCAACACTGTGAAATTTTTAAAGAAAAATTCTTTATTTTAAGAAAATTTATTTTTAAAAATATATCTTATCCAAAATAAATCACAATAATTAATATTGGAAAGCTTATACAGAGACTTATAGGAATAAAACTGATTGGTTGTCAATCTTTTCAGAGAATTTTAACTCAAGAAGTACCTTAACTTTTCTTGAGCAAGGAGGGAAGGAAGAACATTCAGACTTATCATGCGCATTTTAAATACCAACTCTTTTGATTGTTTTGTATATGTTATTTTAATTAATTATCACCACAGCAATTAGGAAAAGGCATTATTAAACCCATTGCCACCCACCATTTACATATGAGGAGACTGAGATTCAATGAGGTTAAGTATTATGTTCAAGGTCACACAATTAATAAATGAATCAAAATCCCAGGATCTTTCCTTGAATACCATGTTGCCTCCAGAGAAAATACTAGAAGCATATTAATGAGACAATGCTATTTGATTTGCATTTGAAACTAGAATGGCAGTGTGCAAAATACATTATAAAGCAACTTTTTAATCCTAAGTATTGCATCTGCACACAGAGACAGTTTTTAGAGTGTCAACAATTAATCCATGAGTTGGTTTCAAAGAATAAGCACTCTGTTTTATTGTTCAGCAACACAGGTCAATTCTGGAAGTAGTTGTGGTTTTTCTTACACAGGCAACAATTTTATTAAGGAGGTTTCTCTCAAATGATGTCATCAAAATACCTTAGAGTTTAAGAATCACAGACCATTTAGTAACAGCAATTGGTGAGAGTGGGGACTGTTAGGGAAATAGGTTTTTGTATTTGAGTTGAGAATTTTCTTTCAAAAACAAATGGAAAGTTAGTAATAAGAACTAGTCCTTTTAAAGTCTTCTTACTAACATCAGACTTGATCTACACTACTGACCTCTTCCTGATCCTAGACAATGCCAAAAGTTTATGAAACAACAGGTTAAAATTAGAAGACAAAGTGGGATACAACCTCAAGGATTATTAATGGAAACTACTGTCATTATTTAGGTCCCCCTGGTTTTAGTTTTCTTCTCAACTCCTTCCCATCACAAACACACACAGACACAACAGGTGGAAAATCAGCTCATTCTTTATTTTTCATTTGTTTAAACCAATGAATATTCTGCCTCAAGAGCCAGAACATGCTGCCTTATATAACTAAGGTAAGAGTGTGTGTGCATGCGTGTGTGTGTGTGTGTGTGTGTGTGTGTGTGTGTTATGTGCTATTCTGGGACAGAGAAGGGGGCAAGTAGAAATCCCGAAGGGCTATGGTAGGAAGGCAGAGTTGCTACCTCCCTTTCAAAGCTACGTCTGGAAAAGGGGGTGGGGACTATACCAACACATCACCACCCCGCATGCCATTCTCACACACGGATGCTTCTCCGTCATGTTCTCTGGGAAATTTCCCCAAGATTAGGAAAAGGACGGTAGCGCGGGTCTGCTTCGTAAGGCGAGTTTTTACCACTGCAACACAAAGAACAGCGGAGCGCGCTTTCACATCGTCGCAACTCCACTCACTTGACCAGCCCTACACTTCAGCACCACGGAGAGCGTCACCTCCTCGGCTACCACCCATGGGGAGCCAGATTCTCGCGACTCAGCACCGGATCCCGGTCCACTAGAGGAGGGACAAGCCTGCGTATTTTACCCTCAATGTAAGCAGCTGTAATGATTCTTTTATATTGATTTTTCCAGTAGAGGTTGTTTTCTTGCTGAAATATGGAATTAAACTTTTATTTATTAGCTCTCTCCCCGTACAGCATTGCTTAGATTTTTAGGTGTTTAAGTCTGGATCTGAGATCTTTCTTATTTGTTGAGTTGGTAGGGAAATTTCTTTTTCTTTTATTGAAAGTCTAAGTTTACAAAACCATTTAAAAATAGACAACTCATTTGGTAGCCTAGTCCTTTTGTGCTGGAATAGTATACTTTTATTCCTAGAAGAGTATGTGTGTTGTCTCTTCTTATTACTGAGAGCTTTCTAATTTGCTGCTTTTGTGGTTGTATTTACATTAATATAAATATGGGGATGAGAGGAGGAAGGTGGCTGTATTCTAATAAGTAGCCACCATTAAAAAACTAATGGTGGCAAAAAGAGATTGTTATTTTTCTTTTTTCTTGTTGAAAGTACGGTCCGAGCTCTACGTATCCTATAAATACCCATTTCAAAATAACAAATATGCTCTTAATAAAAGAGATGTAATCTAGGTAGGGCTTTGAGATGAGCTTTGAAACTCTAGATCACAGAATCTCCCCTTTAAGTCTGAAGTTGTAAACTCACTTATGTATGAGTGAGTAAACATAATCAAGACGTTATTGCCATTAATTGTAATTTAAAGGCTTAATGTATTCATGGTAAATTTGAAAGAGGCAATAGTGATTGACCCTGTCGGGTGGGACTCAGTGAATTTTTGCCTCAGAATGCCACCTGCTGGTGGGTTCTATTTCTGAAGCACTGGGCACACATCGGTTTTATGAATGAACTCACATTAAATCCAGAATATTCATTATGGATATGATGCATATCTACTCTCTAAAATCTTTTTAATGATGACATTTATTCAATTATTTAACAACTTACCAAGGTTCTATGTTACAATTATAATTTCATAAACATCTATTTCCAAAAACCTTGCTCCTAAGCTTAGGAGCATGTAGACTAGCTAACTCCTTTAGGCAGTAATTAACCCAGAAAAAATCAGAACTATGTGGATCCTCATTGAGGCTAATTTCAGAATACATGTGGTATCTTAGATGAGAACTACCAGGAGCTCTTGCTTAGTAAAAGCAATCAACATTTTCCCCCAGATAAATATTTAGCATGTTACTTTTTTCCAGTATTTTTGTTTTACAATTTAAAGATCTCTCTTACTTTCCTAGTAGTAAATGTTCATTTCAGACTCTTTTATCACAGAAGTCAATGAAACCATCAATAGGTTACATATATCTACTATTCCAAGACAATTCTTTTTTTAAAATTTAACTATTTTTTAAAATAGTTACATTTAATAGGAGTAGTAGTAATCTTTTTTTAAAAAAAATGTAGCTGAACTTGCCATTTCAGCTCTAACTGTAGCTATATACAATGAGATATAAACATCCAGTTTTATAACTCCCCAGTTACAAATAGGCAAATAAAGATCTTAAAAGTAAGAAGAAAAAGAAGCACACACAAAGCACTAGTCATATTTTAATAATTAATACATGGGGTACCTTGAAAATATTGAGAACAATCTCTTCTTAAATGATGTTATTTGGTGTAAAATAAATTACTAATATAATCATTATTAACATTCATAAACACTAGATAATATTTTTCACACCAAGATGCAATGGACAAACTATCCTACATTAGTGGAATTGTTTGGAAAGTACATCCTACTATAACATATCATAATGAATAGCAGAGCGATATTTTGCTTGTTTCCTGTAGGATCTGACTAGTAAGGTGTATGAACTATGCATACTGCAAGGTAATTAGGTGGGCATCTTTTTCTTTTATTCAAAATATATATGTGGTACAAAGCAAGTTATTGTCTCTAGCTTAAGTGGAAACTTGAGTGCCTTAGACCCACAATTAATATAATTGAAATAAACTAAATCAGACTTAAAAATATCCAGTGTCACTAGAGCACTTACTAGGAACTGATAAGTAATTTATATGAATTATCTCACCTCAGCCACAGAATAAGGAAGGTGATATTTAGAAATAAGTTAAATGTCTTTGGAATTATGTAAAGTTTTTCAGGAGTATTTTGAAGAAGTGGAAATACCTCAATTTTCTCCCTCAGTCACTCAAGAGACTTACTATATCCTCTGCTATTAGCTGTCTTACTGAGCAACTTATGGGCCATCATTTATAATGGACCTAATTGGAAGCTGGTTTTACTTTGAAACTCATGCCTTATATTAAAAATTGTCAGTCAGAAATAGAAAATAGTAGTTATAAGAATATATAGCTCTTGTATTTGTAAGAAGGAGGATGCTGGTAAACATGAACACCTCGATTTTATTGGTCTTCTTAAACGACCAACCCAGATCAAGTATTTGAGAGTCCTTAAATTAAGTTATTAGACCATGCACTATATCCCAGGCATCAGGATACTGGGCACCAGGTGCATATGCCACATAAACAAGTAATTCTTCTGCCCTCAAGGATCTTGAACTCTAATGGAAAAAGTTATAGTCTAAAGAAACTTAGAAAAAATGCAGGAGAAAGCATAGTTTTCATCAGACAGACTAGATTCCTAATGGTGGGTCCACCACTCACAAGTTGTGTAGCTTGGGAAAAGTGGGTAATTTATTTGATCCTCGTTTCATCATCTATTCAATGGGAATAACAATAGCACCTAAATCATGTAGTAGTTTATGAACATTTAAAATGATAATGCCTATAAAGCACTCAGCACAGTGGCTGGCACATGGTTAATGTGTAGTAAATGTTCATTATGATTAAATAGTCATTTAGGAAAATAGCCAAGCTTATCAGATGATAATTTATTTAAAACAATAATTCATATAAAGCACTTAGCACACTGTCTGGCACATGGTAAATGTGTAATATATGTTAACTATCACTATCATATAGTCATTTAGAAAAATAGATAAGCTGAGTATTTCAGTGTAGAGTAAAATGTGAGCCAGTTTAAGTAATTGTGTACTTAACTGTATTGATATGTAAGATTTCGATCATTTTTGTCGTGACATTTTATAAGTCTTTATAGTATCAGGGCATTTAGTATACATTATTTAATCTCCACTGTGGTCCTGAGGAATGTGAGGGATGAATTTTATGACTCCCTTTATGTTGGTAAAGGAATTGAGGTTTAGGAGAAGACCCCAAATCACTTGACAATTTCATCACTGTTGCTCTGGACCAAAACTAAGAATATGTTCACTTGGGAAAGGACACACAGACCGGGACTGGGTTTTCCTAGGTGTCTGATCTCACTGCTAGATTTCGTTTGGTGCTACATCCAGTTGGGAAATGGTACAGACTGAATTGATTTCAAGCTTGCATAATTTCCACAGAGATGATTTTTGATACATGTAGCAATTTTAGAAAAAAGACAACAAATATCTCTAAAAAACATTTTGATCAAGTGGCCTTTTCCTCATCAGTAATAAACCACAATCCCTGCCCCCAAAAGGCTTATGGTCATGCTCATTTGTAGCTGGACTTAGGGTGCAAGATTCATACTTTTCATAGATCACTGATATGTGGCTTCCTTCATACTGGCTGATGCATCTGTAAGATCAGCCTGATAAAAATAGCAACCAAGGGATCAAGAGGGAGTTTAATAATCATCATTCCTCCTCTCATATATGGTTTTGTTTCCACTGGAACCCTTCTTCCCAATGACATCAAATGTCAATGTATGCATTTCTGGAAAATGAAAAACACAGTATCTTAATTGAGGTGTTTGATGAGTTTGATCACTCATTATCTCTATAACATATGCAAATAAAAATGCATTTGCATTTGAAGTTCACTTTTAAGAAAAATACTAAAGTAAGAGCTTCTAAATGCCAATTGCATTTTAGAGAAAATCATTTTGCTCAATATCGGCCTAAAACTATGAAAGATCACCAGAGCCCAGCAGGGCAACACATCTGATTCATGAGTGTAAGCTTTGGCCCCCAGTTATTGTGGGTCACATAACTCTATCCTTCTGACATGTTATCTTTTGTGGGTTTTTTCTAACCCATGTGACAGGTATGCGCAAAGCATGAATATTTGTAATATCAAGAATAAATGGCAAGAATGAGGTTGCTAAATACATTCATCAGTGCATAAATGTTTAAAAAGCATCATTAGAGGGATATCAAAGTAGAAGGAAGTCAGAGCTAATAAGAAGCCCACAGTGAGGTTAAAAGGCCTCCATCAATTATCTGTATCAGTTCATATGGCTCAAGGGTCTGCTGTGAAGCCCCTCGTGTTGGAAGCAATCTCACTGAGTAGAAGGCTCATGAGGTTTCATCTGCAATGAAAAGGAGCAGAATTGACAATTTTGTGAGCAACCAAATGTATCTCAAAGCTGAGGTTTTAAAGGCTGTGAAAGAGAGGCTTGTTTATTTCTTATAACATCTTGGTGTCTGCTTTCAAGGTCATTCAGAAAATGTACATCAACTGGTAAAAGCACTTTAACTTCTTAAGTAAGTACCAGACACATACATAGATTTTTCTTTGAGAAAATGTAATTATTATAAGAATGTCAAGATTTATACTATACCCTAACCTTGTGCAGAAATTATTTGCCTTAAGGTTTAGTCTTTTTACTTCACCTGCCTCAGTTTCTTCACCTACAAGGTGAGACTGCTAATACATTGCTTTTTATGTTTGGTTTTGTTTTTGTCTTTTAGTGAGAAAAATGAATAATGCTTGAACATCCCTTAAGTTTGTAAACTGCAGCATCTATGATATTCACATGGACTCTGAATTTAGACTGGGTACTTATGTGTTCCTTGCGAAATGTCCTCTGCTCTGACTTGGTTTAGAGGTTATTATATTTCTTTTGAATTAATCTCCATGGATTGTTGCTGTGTAATACTTGTGTAACCCTGACCTTGTAGACTGACCTGTTCTCCCTCTTGAGCAGACCTCTAATGGAAAAGTGAGGTGGAATCAAGCTGTAGTGCCAGCTTCTTCTAGAACAGCTACTGTTTCATATCTAACAAACTGCTCAGATGCTCTTGAGTGGAAACTGCTTTTTTCAGGTTGAATTGTGATGGCTAAGTCCAGAGAGGTTCTCCTGAGAGGAGTAGAAGCTTATTGCAAGATAGGCTGAGTAATTCCATAAGAAAGATTATGAGTCTTCTGTGGGCTCAACTTCTACCTGTGAGTGTGTGCCAAGACAGGGGATGCTCATTACATCCCCTGAAACCGAACCTTGGGGAATATACATGGGGTGACTGTATAGCTTTCAACTCAGTCATCTCTCTCCTTCTGAAAAACTTATAATAATAAATGCCTGCACACTATTTGTGAATTCCTCTCTCCTGTAAAGGGATTCCCAATCTATGGTCTGCCTTTGGTACCAACAAGCAGCCTCTCTCCCTGGAATAATGACATTATTGAAAGAAATGGGCTCAGAAGGAGCTTATAAATTTGAATCCTGATGATCTTTTCCCCAGCAATCTTTCATCAAAATGCACTTTATAAAAGTGGATGGCAGTTCAAATGCTCTTCCTAAAGGAGGGCAGAGCTCTCTATTAGGGTTTATCACCCACAGTTGCCTTCTGAAGGAGTTTCCCATAATTATTCTTTATAATTTTTGCAGATGAAGAAGCTACCCCACTGTATAGGTTAGCAACTTTCCCAAGGGAAGTGTGACTCAGCTCCAGGCAGGATTAGAATACCAACCTCTGACCTCCAGTCTCTGCTTTATCCCAGAGATAGAGCCCCCCAAGGGGCTAAAACCAAAGAAGTTTGAACAGGTCAAAAAGTAAAATGAGTAGAAACCTAAATGGAGCCCAAAATTCAAAAGTTCAAAAGAATAATTGAAATGACTTTAAAAATCTCAGAACAGTAGGTTTAATTTAAAAGCCTTCCTCTGTGATTACTTTTGTTTGCTTATTTTTAAATGTGGTTTAAATGAAATGCTGAGTATTTTTTATGCATGGAGACATAACCAATAACAAAAAGACAATTCTCTGGGACTATAAAAAATAGTTAAAACAAACAACCCTCCAAGTACTTACTCTTTAGAACAGATATGCTCTTGCTAAAATTTATGCTATTCTAATATTATTTGAATAGTGTAAGTGGGGGTAGATTAGAAAAGGAAAATGGAAAATACAGGTAAGACCAACTGGAGAAACAGAAAAGTATAAGATGTCCAAGTTGGTAGAGGCTTTGGAAGGTCTGGTTCATCCTCTCTGTTCTACAATTTTCTGAGAACTAGAAGCTGGGCACCTGCTAAAGATCTGAAGGCTAGCTGGAGGATTTGAGCTCCTGACTTGAGCTCAAATTACACAATAGCTGTTATTGTCTCTAGACTGCCATTTTAAAACTGTGGCAAGCAAAGGTTAGGTAACTTGTCCAAAGTCACAAGGCTGGCAAAAAGGTGAGGCAGGACTTCTGCTCTCAGCCTGCTGACTTCCAAGCCTGCCTTTCATCTCTCTTCTCTCAGTAGGTTCATCTGAGAAGAGGATAATGAAGGTTTGATGCAAAAATTAGACAAGTTAATATATGTGAAGCTCTTAGTATAATGCCTGGCATATAATAGGTACTTAATAAATGTTAACTGCTATTATCATTAGTGTTAGTATTAATCTCTACACTATGCCCCAATGGTAAAGAGCAACAAGCTAGAAGTGAATTCAGCCTGTAAGCTGACCTATTTCTTTCATCCATATAAAAATTCGGTTTCAGTCTTAAGAAGCTACAACTGAACTCCCTCAGGAAGGCTGCTTCAGCAGCCATCAGCAAGTGGCAGTGACTCTAGTCCTGCTCCCTGCCACATCTTGCCCTTGAGTAGGTGTATAAGCTGCATGGGGAGCAGAAAGCATGGTCCCTACAGAGAATAGTATGAAATGTAGAAAGACGTGTGTGGTCATGCTTGCATGTCGCTGCAGTTCTGCCGTAGTGTGGGGGCCCATCGAGAGCAATACAGCTGAACCAAAGGCAGCAGTATCCCTGGCCACCAGCTCTGTGGCATTGCTCCTGGGGAACTGGGCATATCAAGAGATGGGAGGGGATGGAATAAAACCAACATTGACCGAGTACTTTCTACATGCATGTGACCTCTTTTAATCCCCCATGTACCCTGTGGAACACAAAAAGTTACCCACACCGTGCAGGCCAGAAAACTAAAGCACAAAGGGGTTAAGTGACTTGCTCATACCTACAGAAGCATAAATAAAACAGACAGCCCTCTCGCTGATCCAGCCACACCACTCCCCATACCTCCACCTCCCCTGACGCTCCACCCGGACCCACCCGTGAGCTCTCCTACACCCAAGCGGTATAAAGTCAGTATTCTCCCATTTGAAAAAATAGTTCAGGTATACCAATTTGTCTTTTTTATTATTGTTATTGAAACAAAAATGATTGTGCATATCTGCGGGGTACAGCGTTGAATATCAATACCTGTGTGCAATGCATGATGCTCAAATCAGGATCATTAGTATATCCAACACTATACAAGGTAATCATTTTTTATGGCCCTTTACCAATTTCTCACCAACCCGCCTTCACTGTCCCCCTTTCCTATTTGGTGGTCTCAGTTCTGTTCTTCCAACTAATTATTGTGACTGATTAAGACAATGATTTCTGATAAGATTTCATAATTTCTCATAAGATCCCAGTCGTGATATTCTTTGTCTCAACGGCTTTTGTTTGCCCTGCCCCCGGGGAATCCGCAGGCCCCGGGAAAAGTAACCGAGCATCTTTGCCTTGTTGCCACACAGGTTGGGGAGCAGCACCTTCAAAAACATGCAGCGCCGGCACACGACGCTGAGGGAGAAGGGTCGCCGCCAGGCCATCCGCGGTCCCGCCTACATGTTCAACGAGAAGGGCACCAGCCTGACGCCCGAGGAGGAGCGCTTCCTGGACTCGGCTGAGTATGGCAACATCCCGGTGGTCAGGAAAATGCTGGAGGAGTCCAAGACCCTCAATTTCAACTGCGTGGACTACATGGGGCAGAACGCGCTGCAGCTGGCCGTGGGCAACGAGCACTTGGAGGTCACGGAGCTGCTGCTCAAGAAGGAGAACCTGGCGCGGGTGGGGGACGCGCTGCTGCTGGCCATCAGCAAGGGCTACGTGCGCATCGTGGAGGCCATCCTCAACCACCCGGCCTTCGCTCAGGGCCAGCGCCTGACGCTCAGCCCTCTGGAGCAGGAGCTGCGCGACGACGACTTCTACGCCTACGACGAGGACGGCACGCGCTTCTCCCACGACATCACGCCCATCATCCTGGCGGCCCACTGCCAGGAGTACGAGATCGTGCACATCCTGCTGCTCAAGGGCGCACGCATCGAGCGGCCCCATGACTACTTCTGCAAGTGCAGCGAGTGCACCGAGAAGCAGCGGAAGGACTCCTTCAGCCACTCGCGCTCCCGCATGAACGCCTACAAAGGACTGGCGAGTGCCGCCTACCTGTCCCTGTCCAGCGAAGATCCTGTCCTCACAGCGCTGGAGCTGAGCAACGAGTTAGCCCGGCTGGCCAACATTGAGACTGAATTCAAGGTAACGCCCTCTCACCACCCTGCAGGCAGACTGACCAAGGGGCTCGTCCACGTGCGTTCCGCAGCAAAGGGGGTTGTCTGCTGCTCTAAGAAAGCGTGGAGGCCTCGGGGTCTTGCTGTTCAGGGTCACGGGGAGGAAGGGTGACATCTCACTTGTGTCAGGTGTAGGGAAAAGCAGCTCGTTAGATGGAAGATTTTAAACTACGTAAATGTGGTAAATGGGTGACTTAAGCACAACTCTGCACGGTAAAAGACAAGCAACTGGCAGGCAGGATTATATCGTGGCTCTGGTGTGAACGCCTCCGCTCTGCCCCAGGAGGCCCAGGAGTATCAGAATATCTAATCACCTGTGCTTATTTCCCAGTCTAGGGCCTAGGCTTCTTGATTGCTTCACCTGCATGGTTTTGATTCATCTTGTTCACATCTCTGTCTTATCATATACTGTGCTGATCTTAGATTCAGTCTCATTCTAATGCTAGGAATATTTGGCTGCAGCTTTTCTTAGACCTAGCAAGCTATTGCTATTGTCCTGGTAATGGGCTGAGGAGGAGGTACATGAAAATGAAAACTGTCTCTGTAGAGTTGGGTTTGTCACCCCCATAGATGGGCCCGGGGCAAAGCCCTATAATTCAGCTACCTTGAGAACTCCTTGACCTACCAGGCTACCCCACAAAATGCAGACCCATCTCCAAAGTCCATTATTCTATAGCGGTCTCGTGCTTTTACTGTCAACTTGCAGTTCCCCTGAAAGAGAAGACTGGGATCTAATGTAGGACTTCTTTTGACACAATGTTTAACAATGATAAGTGCAAACACAGTGGGTGTTTATTGTACCAAGCACTAAATGCTTTACCTATATGATCTTATTTAATCCCCTCAACAACCATATGACATGAGTACTATTATTATCCCCATTTTATATGAGGGCATAGAGGTAGAGAGAATAAGCAGCAAAACCATTGTTCTAATCTAGGCCCTAAGACCCCAGAGTCAACTCGAAGCCACTCTGGGAAACTGAGAGTCAAAGGCCTTGTTTATGTATTGAGTTTCTCAGAGTCTCACTTGTCTTTATCTGCATGATGAAGGGATTCCCCAGTGCAGCAGGTATGGCCGGGGGAGTAGGAAACACCACGAGGCTCAGTTTTCTCATCTTGCCATTCAATCCGAGACTATTATGTGTTAGATGCCAAGCAAAATACAAGGAGGTGCTGCACACAGGGCTGGCTATTGAGCTGAGAAAAGATGTCACCTGCAAGTTAAATTTTCATTATCCAAACAAGATGTCAGTGCAAGAGCTGCCCCTGCATGGGGCACAGTTAGGTGGCCAAGGATGGGTACCAACTCATAGCAAAGGATGCCCCCGGGACTTGTTATTCAGGCAAATCTCAAAGGAGGAGATGGAATTGGGTTGGGCCTTACTGAGCAGGAGAATTGGATCAGTGGGAAGAGAAAGGTGGGCACTTGGATAAGGCAAGTAACGGTGAGGCCTGAATGGCCCAGAGTGGGGAGGAGACAGCTGAGAAGCTCCATGTGATGCGAATGTAGACGTCCTGTAGTGACATGCATGAGGAATGCTGAAGAGACCAGTGGGGGCAGATCTCAGAGGGCCCTGCATGTCAGGCTGAGTGCTTTGAATGATATCCTGTAGGAAATGGAAAGCCACTAAAAGTTTGTGTTTAGGGTACTAACATGAAGAGAACTAGAGTTTTGGAAATTTACTTTCCTGGTAGGTAAGATGAATTGGAGGACTTGGACTGGGACTAATAAGGAGGACAATTTAGTTGTGCACATGTGAGGCCATGGCAGCCTCTCTGTAGGAACAGGCTTGTCCCACAAGCCAGGACAGAAAGGCCAGGCCAACAAGTCAAGGCCAACAGAAGGTTTTAGGTCACCACAAATTGTGAATAGTTGGAAATCATTTAATTAAGCTGATTTTATTCCATCTGTCCTCTCATCTCGGACCCATCCACTGAACTGGAGACATTTCCCTGAATCCTGCATTGTTCATGGCCTCATCTAAAACACTTGGTGGATGTAGATGTAGGGATTACCCAAAGAAGTTCCCAAGGAATGAGCTATTGCCTCTTCTTTCTTTCTTTGTGTGCAATAAACCTCACCTACCAATATTAAAGTCCAAGTATGTCCCAAAGAAGGTTGGTGGAACTTTGTTGTTCCCTGGTCTTCCGATCAATTCTGCACAGCCCATGTGAAAAAAATAGCTAAGCCAGTTAATTCAGATATCTCTGAATTAATTCAAGAAAAAAAAATATCTCAGGGAAAAAAATTAAGCAAAAAATGTTTTTTGGATCAGATTATCTGGCTAGTTGCACAACCCCCCATTTATCTCACATCCAGGAGAGTGCCAGCCTTACTAAATAAAGCAACACTAGACTAACACTTGGAAATACATCTGAGCCATTTACTAAACCCAAAAGTCTGGCATATTTTAGTATATACAATATCTAAAACTGGAAATTTCTTGAAAGCATCTACTATGATATTTTGATTTAAAAAGTAAATTATGAAAATTGAAGACAATTAAGAACACTACTAACATGATGACAAATCCTTTCTACAATGCAGTGATTTACTCAGAATAAGAGTCAATACATTTGCTGACTATTAACAGCCCCCTAGTTACCTTTGTTTGAAATAATGTCTTTCAGATTGTCGACGAATGGTGCATTATAAATTAACCTAACTGTTCCTTTAGAACTTTATTACTTATTCAACTATCCTTTTATGTGCATTACTGACATTATAAATTTTCACAGAGAAGAAAGCAGCTTAGCAGGAGAGAAGTCAAATTGTAATAAAGGAATAAAGAGCAAATGGATGTGTTCTAAAATGCACTCTTTACGAGTCTGTTCTGCTTTCAAGGGACTACATGTTGTTTCTTATTGCCACGTTAGAGAGATTACCTGATGTCACTGATTCTGTGAAAAAACTATCAAATTCTAATTGGAAATGTCATACGTCATCCTCCACATCCTCTGAAACACTCATTCTGGAAGTGACTCTCTTGGCTAGGAAACATCATCCATGAAAAAACTGAATTCAGTTGCTCAGGCTATTGTTTTTGGAGCCATTTTAAATTATTACCACAATAGAGTCTAGTTGTTAACAAGAAGTGTAGCCAATGCCAAGGTCTCCAGTAAATTCTGGCTGGAGTTAAATGCCTGCTAACAAGCCATTATTTTTGGTGTGAAAATATGTAGCTGTTCAAAGATTTTCTTATGTCTCTCTAATCTTGTATCTATAAAGATATTAAAATTTGATGTGATCACTGGGGCCTTCTCAGTGCCTTGAATGGTGCCCAGTAAACCAGTAAGTATGCTAGAAATACAGTCAGCCCTCCATACCTGTGGATGCAAACCAGAGCTGACTGTACTAGCCATTTTATGTAAGGAACTTGAGCATCTTCAGATTTTGGTACCCACAGTGGGTCCTGGAACCAATCCTTACAGATTCAGAGGGATGACTCTATTTAATGAGTAAATGAAAGAAATCCCAAAAGGATAATCATTTCAACTAAAGAAGCAAGTGATTGCTTGTATCTATTGTTTAAATTCTTCATTCACTTATGGATTTAACAGAGGCTTTGATGGACATGGTGAACTGCCAATGCTCTAGAGAAAGTTACAAGTTGTTTGGGGGATAAAACAAACACACATTAAACAACTGAGAACCAACATATGCTGCACTGTATGGTGTATGGAGGGCAAAGTATGTCTTCCTACTGTCTTACCTAAAGTATCTAAAATGGGGTTTGGGAGCACTGCCAACTAATGACATTTTTGTTGCTTGGTTTACCTGTGCAGTAGGAGCCAGAGAAAGGAAAGGCTGGTGTGAACTGAACTATTCGGAAGTGCCTCATCCTGGTGAAATGGGTTCTCTCAGTGTAGAGGCACCCAGAGTAGCAAGGAAAAATAAAGAATTTGTCTATCTCAGCTGGGTTATAGCTTCTGCCACCAAAAACACAATGAGGTCTCTGAATCACTCCTGAATTATTCTGTTTGGCTTTCTTCACTGATCATCCTTCTGGTAAAATTGCCTAGGGTCCCCTGTATTTTTTTGGTTTATTCCCAGTTGAATTCCTGTGCATTTTGTCTATGTGTGTTGTTTATCTGTGGAACTGTTGTTTCAAAATGATTAGAGCAGTTCATCTTCTTCCATCTCAGAGTTATGGTGGCAGCAATGCAGCGAGAGGATGTGGGAGAAAGAATGATGAGGGACTATTGTACAGTAAGGTGTAGGGCTTTGGAAGGAGACAGAAAACAGGAGGGGGTGGAGGTATCCCTCTTCCTCTCTCACCTTTTGCTGAAATTTAAAAGCATCCAGTGTTCTCAAGTCAGGGAACTGTGGAAGTCCAACAAACACATATCTCAGTTATTTCACGTTTGGTCATTCCGAAGAAAAGCAAAGTTACAACTGAGAAGGCTCTTCGTGTTGACAAAATGTCAGCATGGAGGCTGTTGATTGTGTTTCAGTCACAAGCAATTTATTCTTATAGACCTCAGAGGGCAAGAGTAGGGGAAAGAAAACTTAAGCTGTAACATCATCCTGCTTATAGTGTTAATGACTTTTCTGTTTATCAATGGGTTAACTGCATGTATTATGAAAAATAGATGATGAATTATGTATCAATGTTTGTGCTGTCATTTTAAGACTCATAAAAAACTCTCTGGGCCTAAAATACCACAAATTAAAAATGCAAATAATGATAAATCAGAACAATTTGCCACCTGCTATGATCTCTAGTGAGATCCCATTGTGGAAGGTAAAGATGTTGAAATGAGAGTTTGTAATCTGCTTGCAAACTCATCAGAACGGAAGAAGGAAGGGAGGAGGAGTGACTTTGTATTGTGGTACCCAGAGCTCAGAGCACATTTGAACTCTGGCTGTCTGGAGCCAGGGAGACAGGAAGCATGAGTAAAGACCCAGTTTGGGCCAGAAGCAGCACTAAAGGCTGAATAAGCCTGTTGCCTCGGGCCTCCGGTG